AAGGTAGCGTTGAATTTATACTATACATGTGGGGACAGTTACATCAACCTGTATTTTGTTATAATGCTATAGCACCATGAAAACTTCAAGCAAGAATTTGGTCTAGGCTTGGGCTGACCAAGCTGTTATAGCCTTTGGTTGTGGTTACAAGCTGAAGCTGTTTTTCATACTCCCAGAAGTATTCTTTAAATTTGTTGAGAAGTGTACTGTCTTGTGTTCATGCTGTTTTAGCCATTTTGTTTCTGTTTCAGGATTGTTTGCCATTGGGGAAACCTCGTATTGTCTCTAGGCTTGGGCTTCCAGGTGCCTGTGATGCATCCTTTCTTTCCTTTCTTCAGTCGGCTTATGATACATCTTTGATGTGTTTAATTATTTAAGTTAATTCCTATGGCTCTCATCGAGAGATCATTAGTTGTTCTGTTGTCTTCTCTGCTCATCTGGGTCATGTCTGAAAGTTTTGCTTTATTTTTGGTCTCACCCATAGTGAGTTAGTACATTTGTCTTATTATCATGACATCATCACAATTCATAATCTAGAGACTAGAGCTGGTGAAGTTACACTAATGTATATAATCTTATCTTATAGCGTTAGTTGTATTATGCACAGCATGTTAGTAAGTAATGGTTGTTTTTAGAATTTTAGTATATTGACTCATGTTTGTTTTCCAATATGTTAAGCTTCTCCTAGCCCTTTCTGAGTTTTGTTTGTATTGGAACATTATTGTTGCATTGTTTCGTCTGTAACAAGTTTGACAGTTTCAGTACTTTGTATGTCTTCCAGAGGAGGTCTTGGAGGGTGTAGCTTCTGGCATCGACCTTTTCGACTCCACGTATGCAAATTCATCTTGTCCTGTAGCATTTATAGTTCCATTAGCTTGTTGATGATCAAATGCTTTTTTTTTCATACTTCTGAAATGACAGGTACATTTACCAACTTACTATGGGTGGTTTTGCACTGATCTTCCCCGTTGACGTGGTTGAAAGAGAGATGCAGAATGGTGTATTCGACAGTAGTGCTGGAGATTCTGCAAAGATTAACCTGCGTGCAACAACATATCGGTAGGTACCTGTTGTGCTGAAATAGCACAGCATGTTATGGCTATTTAATTATATTTTGTGCGTCTTCACTTGCTTATTGAAATTCTATTTGAATTTTTGTTCATCGATGTTGACTAATGACTACTGTAGCCTACAATATGTTTCAAAAGATATATGTGAGTTTACTAGTTAGTTGAATTTCACTTGAAAAGTAGAAGCTCAGACAAGGTTCAGAAAACCACCGGTTTCTCCTACACATGTAAATATAAATGTGTACGTAGTATCTTCTTTATAAAATGCAATGAAGTATGCAAACTACTATTGATGTGCCCTGAAGTTAAAAAAAGCAGGGGTATTGATCCCAATTACAATTCTCAGTGCTTCACAGATGTTGAATAAACTTTATGTCTGAATGTAAAATCTGTTGATCCTTGTAAAGTGACTCAGAATTTGGGGTACATTCCTTCAGGAAAGACACGTCACGGATAGTCGATGGCTGTACCTGCTTCACGTGCCAGAATCACACCCGTGCTTACCTCAATCATCTGATCAATGTCCACGAGATGCTGGCTCAGATTCTACTGGAGATGTAAGCCAAGTCGAAACCCAGTCATGCATTTCCGCAGAGCAACAAGACTTATCGAGTGAATGACATCTGCTTTTACCAATTTTTTGCAGACATAACACGCATCACTATCTCCGGTTCTTCCGGTCGATACGGGAGGCGATCAAGGCCGGAGAGTTCGACATCTTCTGGAAGTAGTTTGTTGAGAGCAGGCGCTCCCAGATTGCTGCTGCTGCGATGTAGATCTTGTCCATGCAAGATTTGTCCAGTTGTGATAAGAAGAACTCTCCACGTGTGGCGTTATCGGGAGGTTTTTTGAAGGTGGGGACTTTGGACAATGTGTTAGAACCTGAAGACAGTTTGTCGCCCGGTTGGCTTGTCAGAGGAACCTGACAGGGTTAAGTGGACACTCACCAGTTCTGGGGTTTCAACAGTTGTTAGTTCACTGTATGCATACTCGATCAGTCTCAGGATTAAGCATTTGTGATAACTGCATTTACTTTTAAAGGTTAAGGTTTTCTGTTGGCTTGTGGTTAGGTTTTCTGTTGGTTTTCCTAATGATAATTTGAAAAGGATGGGCTTGGGCTGGAAAGGGGATGATCTCTGAGTTTTGTGGGGGAGAGCATGAGGCTCTAGAGTCTAGAGCATTTGTTCTTTGCCTTTCTATTGGCAAAATATGTGTGGATTGTAACAAGTGTGTCGGTGGAAAGGGCATGGAGGCGCTAGAGCCTAGGGCATATTTGTTCTTCACCTCTCCTTCGGCGTAACACGTGTTTCGCCGGGGGATCTACTCTATGCCTGCAAATCTTGTTGGCCTTGTTGCCTTTTCTGGTAGAGACAGAGAATTTAGTTATGGTGGGTAGGCGCTGTGGCTACTTTTGGAGCTTTATGGAAAACTAGGAATAGATCCTGTTTCCAGGATAGAAGACCTTTTCTTAGGGATGGCATTTGCGAACGGCGCGGCTGGCAGTTTTAGTGTTTCCCCCCGCTGTAACATGAGTAATAAGTTTTGTTTCAGTGCTGGGTGGTTGCTCTTGTACCTGGCCTGATATGGTGGCGTGAGTGGGCGTGGGTACTTTTGCTTTGAGCCAAAGTTCGCACCACCAAATATTCGGCTGGCCTAAACTCTGGATAAGGTTCTGCTTTTCTGTCATTCGGCCAATGTCTGCAGGAAAAATAAATGAGAGAGAGCAAGGTTGGCATGGCCAAAATTTTGCCAACCATCTAAACAAGAATATTTTGGCTATAAACCAAACGTAACCCTCCTTCCCATACAAAATGGAACTTTTAAATTGTCAAGGTCGGTTTTTGACACAAACCAAACATACCCTCCTTCCAATTTTGCTGCCGACTCCTTTTATCAAAAAATTTATACTCCCTCTGATTCATATATTTGTAGATACGGATGTACCTAGACACATTTAGATACTCCCTTCGTTCCGAATTACTTGTCACGGGTATTGATGTATCTAGATGTATTTTAGTTCTAGATATATCCATTTCTGCGACGAGTAATTTGAAACGGAGGGAGTACATCTGTATCTAGGCAAATCTGAAACAAGTAATATGGATCGGAGGGAGTATCATTTTTTTTCCAGAATGTGCATAGTATTCTTTTAGAACCTTCTTTTTTTTGCACAATGGAGTGGGCACACCCATGTGCAAAAGGTCACTACATCCCCATGTTCCCAGCACATATAAGCATGTGCACCTTTGTTCTCTTCTTCCAAGTAACCAGCAGCACAGCACAACATCATCTCTATGTCTTCCGACTCTGACGAATATCATCTTTTGTATTGGGAACTTTACAGAAGCAATACCCTCAAGTCTCAACCCTGAACTACAACACCACCCGACCGAGAGGAGCGTCAAACGTACTGTATCGACTCCAGCAGGACAAAGCTCCACCCCACACCGAAGAACACGCACCCACGACGGATCTGAGACTCATAAAAACAGCAGAAAACCTCTACTACATCTACGAAGCAGCTATGGCGGCGTGCACCGATGAAACTGGTACACGCAACGAATGCTGGGCGCCCCTTAATTTTCACAGAAATGTACATGAGCCTTCCTTCTTGGGTTCATTGGATGACGCACACGCACGTCGAGATGCCTTCGTCGTCCATTGAGTCTCCGGATTCGCTGAAATCATCATAGGAGAGAAACACACTGTGAGTTTAAAAAGCAGTCAAGTAAGTCAACAATCAGCCAGCAATGAGAACAAGCATAATATCTCTACAAGGTAAAGTCGCTCAAGAATTCATTTCCGTACACGCCAAGGCCCGTCGATCGCGATAAAGGAGCACAAAAGGAGGTTTGCTTTGTTGTTTTATTGCTTGCTTCAAGATAAGACCGGTGAAATAGGAGCATGCCACTCAATTGTGAATCATCATGATATAGTTCCATGAAGCATTTTTTATTAGAATTAAACTGTAACAAAAGTTGTCACTTGGCAAAAAGGTGATAGCGAAATAACGAGGCAATGAGGAATTTTCTTGTTGCTAAGTAGTAGTAGTAGTAGTAGTAGTAGTGATGACCAGTGATTTTACAGTTTGGTTGGTAAACCACTGTTGACAAGGAGTCTGTGAGACTAGGACAATGCTGCACTACAAGTTTCTGTGGAGAGCTGCTGTCATTTCAATCCTCTTTAAACGGAAAAAGACTACTGAAATCATGTGGCTCGAAAAATCAATATCATGAATATGGTCGAGTAGATATAGCCCCAGAACTACTTTTTGATCAGAAAACTGTAGGGGAGAGACTCCGACAATATAATTATATTAAAAAGGAGGATAATCTAGTGGTAGATTAGCTCCAAAATTATTGACCATACAAGTTACGCTATTATACACAGGTGGAAAGCATGCCCTGAGGCCACTTTGCTAAAGTTTAGATGGTGGAATTTAGAATCTAGAAGGTTACTGATGCCAACACAATCTACATAACTAGCTGACAACATTTCAGAAGTCATAGCTAAATTTTCGGAATAAACAAGACTCGTTTAAATACCAAGTCCAACACATGTATAAAGTTGATCCTGTCATCTACTCCCCACCAAAACCAAGCATATAGAAATGCAGTGCATCAGAAGGATGTCTCTCGGGCTGCCGGGGCAGTAAGACCTATCTATCTATACGTGCCCGAAGTAAATATTATGACCGAGTCGTTCCAAGTTGTAGTACAATACTGGGTGACCGACCTGTACCCTCCCCGTATCAAGAAGCAGATTTCTAGGAAGAACAAAACAATGCAATGTGAGACATCATTGTAGATAGATTAAGGAAAGCATCTGGCACCGGGGAATGGTTTCATTCGCGCATGTCAACGCTCGCACAACGCGCAATATGATTAAATATCCCGGGAGGATCGGGTCTTTGGTGCACACCTTGGGTTACTAAAATCGGAGCATGCAAAACATTCGCCTAGTTAATTGCATACACGTCACAAGACAATAATTCATCCTGGTGAATGGGCAACAGCAGCAAGACAAGCCAATTCAGTTGGAAAAGTTCATGGAGGAAGATGGTGGTGTGGGTGTGGTGTGTATACCTTGGCTCGAACTCCTTGACCTCGGTGAGATCCTTCCCCAGCAAATCAAGCCACTTCACATTGCCCTTGGGGGCGCACACGCCGTCGTCGCCGCAGTTGGCCTTCTTGAGGTTGCTCTTGGGTAGTGGCACCGCCGCCGTCTTCTCGCCGTCCTCGTGCTCCTTGTGGTCCTTGCCGTCTTCATCCTTGTCGGCCGCCGCCGCCGGCGGCGCGACGACCTCAATCTTCTGGACCTGGGGCGGCTTGTCCTCGACCGGGCAGGGCGGCGCGGAGACGGCGTCGGCGGCTGGTGGCGCATCTTTGGATTTGGGGAGGCAGGGGATGTAGCAGAGGGGGGAGGCGCAGTAGGTCTCACAGTGCGAGAGCCTCATCAAAGTCGGGGAATTGGGGCAGCACACCGGGAGCGCGGCCGAATCGGAACCCCGGGCTCCAGGAGCGCGCCACGCCGATCAAATCTGAGCCCCGGCGCAGATCGAGCCGCCGCCGCCGCCGGAACGCAGCCACCCGCCCGCCGCCACGGACCCCGCAAGCAGCAACCTTTGGCCGGACCCGGAGCCGGAGCAGCGGCGCCCAGCGGCACGCGGCAGGACCGGACCGGATCAAGAACCGCCGCGCGGCGCGAGGAGAAGAGGAGGAGGGAGGCGAATCTGCGGGGCGAGGAGGAGCAAGGGAGCGGCAGGAGCGGAGCGGAGCAGGAGCAGATTGAATCTTGCACTAAAAGGGTTGCTCCCCGGGAGCGGGGACCAGCCAGAGAGAGGAGGGAGGGAGGGCGCGAGGTGGGTCTCTCTCGGAGAAGCCCCAAGGAAAGGAAAGGAAAGGAAGGGAGAAGATGAGGAATCCAGCCAGCCGATAAAGATGGTGGCAGCGGCAGCCTCTTCCTCTCTTCTTCTACTTCTACTTCTTCTTGCTACCCCACAGGCACAGCACAGGGACGGGGGGATCAAATCAAATGCATCCAACTTGCGAGGCAGCAAGCGCATGAGAGGGAGATAATTGCGGCATCTACGTGGATAAAAGAAGGGAATTCGTCACGGCGGCGAGTGTGCGTGAATCGGCTGGAGCCAATGATAGATTACCGGACTGGTGTGTGGAGACGGGGGATTTATGGTGGCGCCTGCCTTTTCTCTCCGGGAGAGGGATAATCTATGGCCACCACACTGGAGTCGCTGTCCCAGGAAGACGGGTTCTCTTCTCGCCGGGTTTTATTTTAGAGTATTTTCTTTATGATGACAGCCACGCAGTTGTCATTTCGTTTTCAACAGTGTATTCGATGATTACTAGCAAATATGCCCATGCGATGCAACGGGGGACAAAAAAATTATGACTAACCAAATAAGTATGACTCAGTATCCTGATATATGAGCGTACTCTATTTAACATAGTGGTTCATCAATGTTTCTATTTCTTTCTCACCCTAGCTGATGATGGTCGCGATGTCCACGTGATCACAATGCATTCGACGTGGTAAATCCCAAGGCTATGAGTTTGCCAGTGCATGCCACACTTGTCATTATGTTGCGCAAGGGAATGTTTAAAACTTTAAAAACAAATCTCATTGACCACGAACTACTCTCAACGCCATGACATATAAAGAGTTTGGAAAAACTAATCAAATTCTAGACATAAAATACTTTGGTATCAGTGAACAGTTTTTGGAATCAACAAACATTTTTTTAATTTTTGAATTTTTCAAAAAACAATCATGAACATTAGTTTTGTGTACAAAAAGAATTAAATGTATGAACCGGTTTGGAATTCATTAACTTTTTTTGGCTCAACAAACATTTTTTGAGTCGATGAACTATTTTACAAAAAATGAGGAACAAATTATAAAAAACAAATATTTTATTTTATTTTTGTTAACATTTTCTAAAATGTCATGGACATTTCTTTTCAGATTCCCGAATATGTTTTGAAATCATAAACATGATTTTATTTCCCGGCCATTTTTTCCAAATTTTGATTTTTTTTTTAATTTTGCAAACAGTTTTGCAAAACCACCAACATTTTTTGAATCTGCAATTTTTTTATGATTTTCTAAATATTGTTGAATTCACATATCTTTTATGATTGCTCATACATTTTTTTTGAAAAGATGCAACTTTAGAATATTTAAATCCCGGATTAATTTAAAGAAGAAAAAAGAAAAAAACAGAATGAGAAAAGAAAAATGAAAATTGTGGAAGCTGGCGATCGAACCCAGGTCTCGTCGGTAGAGTAGCGGTCCGCCAACCACCATGCTGTCCGTCGCTCTCTATATTGAACTCGTCGCGTGCCTCTAAAATAGCGAAGCAGGCGGCGATTTTTGGTCCGAAAAATTGAATCGTTTTCCCACTTACGGGTGGCATTGGTGGGTAATTTTTACCAACTTTGAAGGTAATTTTAATGACGTACGTCTAGAAGCGATAACCGCTTTATTAGTAGGTAAAGATAAAGATTACTGTCAAAAACAATAGCGTGCGTCTTCTTTCTTTCCAAAACTGTTTGAAATTTTGAAACCTTTTATTTGCTCGGGTTTTTTTTCATATATCACGGGAGTCGGATGGCCCGAAACCCCATCGGCGCGCCCCGCACATTTGTGAAACACCGGGACTCGGCAGGTTATTATGTTTTGAATTTCGGAAATTTCAAAATAGGGGTTACACATTTGCAACCGTTGGCCTGGAGCCCCTCGGGTGTTTCGCGGCGTGCAACTACGAAGATCGAAGGGTCATATGGCAGATGTGAAGATTAGAGATCTAAA